TCTTCATTAACCTTACTTTATTTTTATGATTAATTTGTTGTTAAACCCACATTAGTAGGCACTTTATTAGGTTAAGGTATTAGGAAAAGTCTGGAACATTTTTTTGCTTAGCTTTATCCGCATTTTTTCCTAATCTTGAATAAGTACCTAATGTGATCACACACAATTTTAAATTGTTAAAAGTTCAACTATAACAGTTCTCACTTAGCAGCCAATTTAATTATTAATTAGGAGGAGTTTTAACTCCAAGACCCCTTTCTAAGTGAATAACTATATCAATATTCTTAATAGGAATTCAAACCCAAAAATTTTAAAGTTTTACAGGTAAAAGTTAAGATTTTTTTTTTAATTTAAAAGTTTTTTTTTACCCCCATGGACCCTTTTTAAGTGAATGAGCTTTATGTGAATAATTGATAAGAATGCGTACACAAAATTTTAACGCGTTAAAAGTTGAATTATAACAATTATCACTCAGCAGCCAACACAAAATATTAAACTGTAAAAGTTAAGATTTTTTTTAAATTTAAAAGGGTATTTTCACCCCCAAGGTGATATTGTAAATAAGAATACGTAACCACACACAATTCTTAAACAAGTCTTAAAATTTAAATTGTGAAAGTGCCTTTGGATAATGAAAAGTTTGGTATCATACGATTACAATAATTATTGTATGTTGATTTTAATTTTAAAAACATAAAACCTAATATTGTTTTTTTCCTTCAAAATTATCAATTTGATAATAATAAACAATAAATAAATCAAAATAATAATTTTAAAAATGTGTTATATTTAGAAATATTTTTAATTAAAAAAAAGGCCTTCATTTGGCTGCTAACTTTGGCTGTCAAGTTTACACCGGTTTTGATTGCCTCGCCCAAAATCGCAAATAACTTTTTTATAATATAATATTAATTTTTGAAAAAAGTTATAAAGAATAGATTCTTGCAAGAAATCGATTTTTTTCGTTTAGTACAGTGATTTTGGGATATACGGTTTAACCGACGACACTTTTAAGTTACAAGAATTTATGATGAAAATGAAAAGTTTCATTTTATTTTCTGTACAAGGAAATTGAATAACGAGCGTAGCAAGTGATAACACGTGGATCATAAAATATTTTATCTAGAAACACTTAAATAAACAAAATATTAATAAATTCAAAATTAAAGCCATAAAAATCCAAGATTAGGGGACATCCATTAATTACGTGAGGCATTTTTCTGATAATAAGATTTGGTCAGATGTGGTAGACCCTATCCCTCACGTGATATTTTAGCCATTAAACTTTCTTTGCGGACAACATAAAATAATTATTATAATTATAATTATTAATATTTTTTTGACAATCTTGAATTATAATACATATTTTTTAAACTCAAAATTTGACGAAGATTTTAAATGATCCCCTCACTTAAAATGAGATTTGGTGAGATTTTGCTGGACTCCTACCCTCATTTTTGTCTCACGTAATTTATGAATGTCCCCTTAGTTACGTGGCAAACAATGTGTTTTGTTGTTGGTTATGGAAAAACTCGCTGTCAATAACTTATAAAAAGCGTTTTTTCTCAAATTGTTGCGATTTTTAAAGGATAATTGGAGAAAAACGATCTAAATGTGGAATAAATAAAGCAGCTACAGTACGAAATTGCTTATAAAAAATTTCATCAGTGATGTTATTTAAAAGTCGTTTCTTGAAAATACAATGAAAATATATTTCTTGAATATTTCGAAGAGAAATCTATCTTTTTGGTATAAAATCCACGTTAAAATTAAATTGCTACTTTCATCATCATTGGGGGTATTTGGTGATTCCCCACAAACCATGTCGGCGCAAATGTTGATAAAAATGTCAAGACTCGAAAGCGGTCACTTTACGGCCCAGCATTTTTATCATGAGTCGAAGTCGTCATTGAAAGTTAAGTCATTATAGGCATTTAAAAATGACGACGTTCATGTTGACATGGTTTGTTGGTTTGTCGCAGAGAAAAACTGCCATTTGACAATCAATAACATCGACGATTTGGATACTACATTGGTGGTAAACATTCCAGATACAAAAGCTAAAGTTTCGAGGACTTTCACTGTAGTTGACCCATTTTATTTAAATTTGTACACAAAATGTAGGTACATAGAATGTTTGTAAAATTCGGTTGGTATTAATACTTTTGGTAAATCCAAATCCAAAACTTCACACTGGTCACTGTTTCCGTCGGTCTTAAGCCACTTTACTAGCAGGCGGAAGAAATACCAAGAAGCTTTTGATCGGTACAAAAAATGGTGCAGTGAAAAAAAATCAACATAACAAGCGCGAAATGATTATTAGTTTATTTCAACGAATTAAGCAAAACACAGAAGCCCTCATCTCTTTGGTGCCATAACTCGATATTTAAAATGTAAATTTTAATCAATCAATATTTAAATTTAAAAAACGCATGGATGAAACCTATTAACAAAGAAGGAAATAACTAAATTTTTATTAGATGCTGGTAAAAAGAGATCTCTATGCATGAAGGTAAATCAGAAACATTTATTTTAGGCTATTTTGAGTATTGGCTTAGCGGGCGCGTGTCGGCAAAAATAAATTACAAATCTGCTTATAGAAAATGTAAAAGTCAAGTCATAATCCTAAATACTAAAACAAGAGTGTCTAGAGAATTTTGTAACATCAGAAAACATTGAGGGTTTGAATCTAGTAGAAGTGGTCAAAAAAAATTAAGACCTAAAGACTGCGACCATGCATGATTTGTTGTTGGATATAGAGCAGGGAAATGCATTAAGCAACACATTGGTTGGTGTTCCAAAACCTATTGCCCAGTTTCTTCAATTGCCTAATCCAAAGGAGTATACCGGGCATTATTTTTGACGATGTTCAACATCCCTATTGGCTGATTCTGGGGCAGAACTTTCGACCGTAAAAAGACATGGTGGCTGAAAATCTAATTTGGTCGCTACATCGAAACTTTCAGTAAAACAAAAAACGAACGGCTATGCCAATTCTAGGTGCAAGCGAGGATGTTTTCCCCCCAACAAACTACGTTCACACTCAATAATCGTATATAATATATTATAGTAAACATTCAATTTTCTTAGTTTCTTTAAAAAAACTTTTGACCCATCACTGGTAATATTCATAAGAAAAAATTGAACCTACACCTCGCCAAAGTTTTTTGTTTTGAATGCGTTCCACCAACTTCAAATACCGACAGACAGCTGTTTCGACCTTTATTGGGTCTCATCAGTGTCGGGCAACTTGGTGTAGTGGAACACAATCAAAACAAATTACTCCCTGAGCCTTACATCTCGCCTCTGTTGACTTAACAACTGAGCATATAGGCTCAGGGAGTAATTTGTTTTGATTGTGTTCCACTACACCAAGTTGCCCGACACTGATGAGACCCAATAAAGGTCGAAACAGCTGTTTGTCGGTATTTGAAGTTGGTGGAACGCATTCAAAACAAAAAACTTTGGCGAGGTGTAGGTTCAATTTTTTCTTATATATTATAGTGTTTTTTTAATTTAAAAATGTCTACCTTGAGCTAGTGCGATAATTAATTAAAAAAACCACTAGTGCGCTAATATAGGTTATTATGACATTTCAAAGGGTAAAATCATAGTCATTATATGACAGTTGTAGATAAAATATTATTTTCCACACTGACAACGAGCCTAAAAAGCCTAGTGTTTGTATATAAAATACTTTATTTTTCAAAGAATCAAAAATAATATTATATAATTTACTAAAATAAACAGTATTACAAATTCGAAATATGTTTGTAATCAGCAAGGCTTGTTATACAAAATGTACAAGTTGTTTTCGTTGATCAAGTGTTAAAATGCAAAAAGAGGAAGCAAATTATAAAAGCCACATAATAATTTTAAAAAACTAAACATTGTTTGAATGTGGTTTGCTATCAGCTTTGTGCTGTTTTCAGACCGGCGGAGCAGGAAACTACAACCTATGCCGGCTATCATCTTGCCTATGAAGTCAAAAAACTCATGTACGCTTATAGCCAAATTTTTCTAACACTTTAACTTTTTTTTTTTTAATTTTTTTTTGCTGCTTGCTGTGCTTGTTTTTTAGAAAAATACCTAAAGAATATTTTAGCAATCATAATCATATTATGTAATTTATTTATTTACTTATTTATTTAATTGTATCCAACCGGCCCAGGGCACAATAAAGGAAATACGTTTTATTCATTTTATTTATATTGTTTGTTCTTATAACTAAACTTAAATTAAGTTTTAAATTTAAACCTATCGTTGATTTACTGAAAACCGCAGAGAAATGGCGACTTTTTCTTTTTCATTGGCCAAGGAACAAAAAGTTAGGGCAAACAGTTTTTTAATTGATTCATATTGATTGTATAAACAAATGAATTAGTGAATGAAAGAAGACCAAATTTTTTAAAATTTTAACTTGAGATGGCCATCTTGTTAAAAATTCATGGATATATCGCCCAAGTCCAAGTCCAAATCCTAGCATTTTTTACATGTTGGCGCCAAATGCGCTAAGTAAAAGAACGGTCCATATTATCGTTTTAGACAGTTCCTTCACTTATTACTAGCATTACTTACATTTTACACACCGATTCAAATATTTTAAGACTAATTTTTTTTCAATATATATTTTAATATGGTAATAGTTTTATCAATATAAAATATTCTTTATGGTAATGAATGTTTTTAGTAAAAACTTTTTAGTGGGTATAGCTTGCTAATTGTATGGTACATTTATTTTTTTACATGGTTTTTGATATGTGCCATACTTAAAGGTGTTTTTTATTTAAGTATATTTTTTAAGTAGGTATCGGTTTAGACCAGATATTTTGTTCTTGTATATTAATTTTAAGGTAGAGGCATGTTCAAGTTTTACTAATAGAATCTAACAAAAATCTAAAAAAATGTTATATTATATCAGGTTGCATTTGTATTAGTATAGATGTGTTTAAGTTAACTAATTAACAATTTCTTAGTATAAATAATTTTAAAAATTTTAGGCCTACCAGTCGAACCAGCAGCGGCACAAACCAGAATAACAATGGCGTAGCCTTACCGGTCGGTTTAGCAGATGATCAAGCCAAAGACTTTGATTTTGAAAAGACTGAAATGAAATATGATAGCACTGGAATGTTTCATTGGGGACCTGCTAGGAACCTCGAAGAGTGTCTATTGGTAGTAAATATTAAAAACAAATCTACTCAACATTAGTTTTAAATATTATCTATACATCTATACATCTATACATCTACAGGGTGTTGGATGACTGATAGACCAACTCATGACTAAGCAGAAAATCAAAATATGACCTTGGTAAAAAATCGTTAGTTTTTGAGATATAGTTATTTTTATTAATTTTGTAAAACTTGACACCTTAGATCAGTTTTTCGAGTGCCACGGCTACAAAATCTACTATTAATTTAATTTTGAATTGTAATTAATAGCATTATTATTCAGGGTTACGCAAAATAAAATATAATCTAAGAATATAAAATGTTGTAGTTGTGGCATTAGAAAAACTGATTTTATGTGTCAAGTTTCACAAAATTCATATAAATATCAATATCTTAAAAACTAATGATTTTTTACTAAGGTCATGTTTTGATATTCTGATTCGTCATGAGCTGACCTATTAGTCCTTCAAAGCATATCGTTGACTTATGTGACACCCTGTATACATCCATACATACATCTACATGTATACACCTATAATACATATAAATAAAATTAAGTGTTTGTCTGAAATCTCCAAAACGGTTGAATCGATTTTAACGGGACTTTCTGGCGGGTTGTGGCCTTTTAGAGTAATCTAAGATACTTTATTTACTGTATTTTACATTTTTGACTTTCCTTTTACATTTATTTTAAAATTACTAATGGGAATGGAAACAAAAAGGTACATGGGCGTCGCCAAGGAAGGACAGGGGTGTGTTGCTGCCCACCTATTATAGGTCTCTATAGGGACTTGAAAAAATGTAACCAAATATCAGGTCACTTATTATCCGATTTTTAATTTCATTTAGTTACGGTTTGGAAGTTATTAACGTTTTTTTAAAATAAATCACAGGACAAGAAAATATGTTTATGACGTATCGATTTTAAATCATTTTTTAACCATTTTGACCAAACTCCTCCAAATTCTTTTAATCAAACGAATTTAAAACGATTAAGTATTTTTAATTAAAAAAATAACTAAAAGTTTTGTTTTAGTTTTATGATGATTTTCTTTTACTATGTTAAACTGCATTCTTTTACCATTTAATTTATGTTTTTTGTCTGCCCAAAAGTTTTTAACAGAACCAATTGATTTTTAAGTACAAAAGTTATGAAAATGGATTTGGTCAAAAAGTAGGTCTCCTAGACCAAAAAATGTAAACATTTTTAAGCCAACGGGATTCAAGAAAAAACTATTTACAGGCAAAATAAAAAGTTGTTCAGAATTCAGACTTCCTTTACTTACTTTTGGCATCGGCAGTCGGGGCTATGGGTTAAACTTTACATATTTATAGTATCTGATCAAAGGTGAGTTTTTTGGCCGTAGCCGATGTTCGATTGTTTTAAGACCTTCGGCCTAAGCCGAAGTTTTATTATTTTATTTAATAAATGTATACAAAAATATAACCTTCAGCCAAACATTTGGCTTCGACTAAAATTGAGCCAAAGATTACTTCCTACTAGGTAATTTGAGGATTTACGGACACTTTAAATTGTATTTATTTATTAACCTACAATTTATATAATCTATCATCTCCGTGGCCCATTGATTGGCGACGCCCTTGGAAAGGTATGAAACGGAACGGAACGGGAAAAATCACAAACATTTTAATTTTATTGTATAGATGACCCCTTATTTTACCTTACAAACACGGAAGCGAAACCTTGGGTATTCAGCTCGTATCTAATAATTTTAAAATATATGACATGCAAAAAGGAAGTTTACTAAATATTTGGTTTTAAAATGATATAATTAATATCTTTAATATTAATATCTTTAACAGTGGGTAGCTGTGTTGATATAAAAATATACGGAATGTTGGGTAAATATTTTTCTAAAAGCTTTTACATGTAGGTACTTTTTTCCTTAGAATGTTTACATTTCTACAACGAACTAATTAAACAGTTATAAGAACCCATTAATCCTATCAAAAGAAAATATTCCAAAAATTTTAAAATCCAAAAATCGTTAAATCATATATCAACCTTAAGTTATAAAATAGTGTTTTATCTTTAAATTGTTTACCTTTGATCTTTAAATTGTTTTGTGTGTTTCTAGGACCGTAACCAGGCCGCGATGACCGTGCTGAACGGTCATGTGGTGGTGTGTCTGTTCGCAGACCCGGACTCGCCCCTAATAGGTCTGCGTAATTTAGTGATGCCGTTACGTGCCAGCAATTTCCATTATCACGAACTGAAACACGTGGTCATTGTAGGATCCGTCGATTATATTAGAAGAGAATGGAAAATGCTTCAGAATCTACCCAAAATATCTGTGCTAAATGTAAGTACCTTAATGACAATATTTAATTTAGTATGGCCAAAAATTTTGTGAATTAAGAGGATATTTTTAACACAAAAACAAAAATAAATAATTACCAAATATGATCTTAAATATATTTATATATGGATATATCCATTAATGCCCAGTTTAACAAAGGTTAAATCGTCTTACAAGATAAATTTACCGAAATAATTAATCTATTTTAAACCCGATCCTTTTAATTTTAATAGGATACTGATTTTATTTTATAAATATACTTTATTCAACACACATTTCATTTCTTAAATTTAACTGGTGTGCTAAACTTTACTTTGCCCACGGGCTGAAGTTAGCTTTAAGTTAAAATTGAAAAAAAATGAGGTTAAAGTTGCTGTCCTTGTGTTAGTTGTATAAAATACGATCATTGGTCAAAAGAGAAGATTCTACTCGAGTGTTACCAAACACAACTCTACGTTCGAGAAATCTCCTCTTTTTTCCACTAGTCGCAAAATATACTATATACTAAATATACTATTTTGAAACAAGAATGGGATTCAGGACCGTTGCTACCTTCGGGTGCCTGGTGTGCGTTTCACACTGGTGGCACTCTGCTAGGAGCAGCAAGTTTAACCCTTAAATGCATGATTTTTTTTATGAAATATCAAAAATATTTCAGGAAAAGGACAAATTGACTTGGGAAAAATAATTTAAAAAAATCCCAATTGGGTATTTCCATTGTAACGGGTGCGACACTGACACTACGTTTTTTCATGATAATAAAGTGTTTGTTCATATATATCAAGATACGTTAATATACAAAAATAGTATAAAAAATTAGGTATCTAGCTCAAACAAAATGTCAATAAAAATTTGTATAGAAAACTTTTTATAAAGTCATGAATCGCGTAACGGGCGCGACCTTAGGAAATCGGAAAATGCGACCAAGTTGGCTTATAATTTTTTTTTGGATGAAAGCATATAGTAATATTTTTTTGTGTAAATACTAAGTAACCTTAAACAAGCACGTATTTTAAATGCAGAAATATTGTATACTTGTACTTGTACTTTATTTTCTAAAATTTTCTTAAAATGTAACGTGTGCGACATTTGAACATTTTATCATGTATTAAAACTCTACCGTGTTTATTCTTAATGTTAGCTTCTTAGCATCACAATGTACAAATACTTTAAGGTTATAAATTACGTCGCAATTAAACTATTTGAATTCAGATGTAGTTTTTATTTTGTTAAATAACACATCTGATTTTTTGTCAAGGTGGGGTAAGGTTTGGCGGAAATACCCAATTGTTTTTTAAGCTTTTTATTAAAATTTTTATTTTAAAAAAATAACTATATTTTTACCCCAAATGCATAATGTTGCCGTTAAAGCAAAAGTATAATTTACAAAGAAAAATAAAATATAGCAAGGTAGGAGTCCTAAGAAAAAAAATTACTACAAATATAATTTATGGTTATGATATAATATGATTTATAGTTGAACAGTGTTATCATAAATTTATCTTAAATTTCACCAATATATTTTATTACGGTATGTATCCAATCCAATTGGCTACAGCATGCCGCACTCTGTTATGTACGTTTTTGTGTATTTAATCCATGCAAATAGAAGTAAGTAGGGGAGCGCCGGGAGGGTTTGGACAATAATTATGGCGTGGACATGTATAAAAATAACTAAAATTTTGTTTTTTGAAAAAAACATGACATAAGCATGAAATAAATACTTATATTTTTTTAATGTATTATGTCCAATACCTCCCCAACGATGGGGAGGGTTTGGACAAACAATAATTAAGCAAATATATTATGCAAAACATTTGTTTGACAAAAAACACTTTAAAAACAAATAAAATATTTAGTAAAAAATTGTTTATTAATCAATAACTTTAGCATTAACGTAAGCTGTACTCGGTAACATCAACTTTAAAATATATCATGTCGGACATGTCCATATCTGACACTTCGGTCTGTTAAAGGATTTGATAGTTTCAAAATCACTTTCTCATATGACACAAATGCTGTGGTTGTAAGCCACTTGGTTTTATTTATATTTCACGTTATAGCTATCAGATAGTTGCTATCTACAACGACTTCCCTCCCGCAACGTAGTTCGATTAATAAAACCCAAATTATTATAAATTATGTATACATTTTCAAAGTAACAATACCCTATAATTTTTAAAGTTTTCCTTATACTGGTAATCAATCAAGCAACCAAATCTCAAAATTAGTTTGTTAAAAGCAGAGTTTACAACTGGTAATATTGGAATGAACACGTGGATAAATAGGAAAATGGCAGTGCCGCGAAACGAAAAGACGTGATTGCTTCGCTTCTAGACATATATCAGGGACGTTCAAATACGCTTTTAGTTACGTTTCTGTTTCCACCCCTTCTTTAATTAGGCGGTAATTATGAATGTGTCCAATGCCTCCCAGTGTCCAAACCCTCCCGGCGCTCCCCTATGTTGTCAAGTGGCAACTACCTACATGCATTTAAGGATTTAAATTTTTTTTAAACATTATTAATTGTGCTACATAGGTTTCTTTTCTTTGTCAATTTATTTAATTGTCTAATTTTATTGATTAAGAATAATGTAAAATAAAGAAATCTTAATTTTTGTTAAATACCTACATATGTTAAAAAATTTAATATTTTTTAACATATCGCACATAAGCGACAACAGTGTCATAAGTCAAAAAAACTGAATGGGGGTTTTTAGTGCAATAAGTGAGAAATTACTCATAATTTATGCTGCAACAGAGGAATAAATATATTTTTGAAATTAAACTCTAGATGGAGACTTGTCTTGTCTTGTCTTGTCTGTCTGCAAGTTGTATAATATCACTATCATAATTTTCATCAACAGTGTCATAAGTAAGTTGCCTGTAAGTTGTGACAGTAATTTTGTTAGCGTAGGTTAGTTGTCAACAACTTTGAAAAGAAATATTAAAAATTTAAAATGGTATAAAATCTGAATAATTTGGATTTTTTAAATAAAATTTGAAATTTATGGATAAACTTTGGTAAATTGCACCAATTAAATTTATATTATCTTTATTGGGGGCGCCATGGGGCCGGTACGGCCGAGCAAAAAGTTATCTTGTAATGTTTTTCTATGTTATAATAATCTTTTAATTGGCGATTAAGTAAAACCTTTTTAAATTTTCATTATCCTTTGTAATAAAATTATAATTTATTTTATCGGAATTAAAATTAAATGGGAAAATATAAAAAATGTCAAAATGTCATGGTATGCAATGCATTTGTGCTTTCATTGTATGTACGGCACTGGGTTTTGGTAAGCGCTAAAAATTAAACAAGAAAATGGGGATACATTGCAGTAAAAGTCTTGAAACGGTTTTGTAAAGAACCTGGAAGATGTTTAATAAAATAAATATTTTTTTATTAATAAAGGTTGTAGCATGTTGTACGCCCCAAAAGTTCTGATTATGGGGGGATGATTTTTATTAAAAAGCCGACTTTTTCGGAGATTTAACCGACTGCAATAATCTTTAGGTAGGTACAGTTGTATTCATTAAAAAAGCGTACAAGAATTAGAATGAGAGAAAACTGTCAACATTATTGCGTAAAACCGGCTTTCCACTGACTTAAGTCACTATAACTGACAGTAGAAAATAAAAATGCCTCGTCTGTTAAAAAGGCTCAAATAGTATCAAGAATCGAAGAATAAAAAATCTATATTAAAAATTAAGCCACGCTGGGAACAGGAAGATTTACTAAACCAAAAAGTTGGTTCAGGTAGTCCCAAAATGTCCACCCCTGAACAGGATGCTGCTTTTTGGGATATCTGAGGATTTATGGGAAACTATACAACTATACTATACCTACTATACAGCTGGGAAGATATTAATCCAAATATTGTATTAAATTTAATTCAGTTCATCCCAAATAGATTGGCTCAAGTAATAAAAAAACACGGATGTATGACTAAATATTAAATTTTTTTTAATGTTTGTTTTTTTTTTCATTTCTAAAAGGTCATAATTTTTGTAATATTATTTAATTAACCTACGACGTCAATGCTCTTTATAACCTATAGTAATTATTTTAATGACTTATGTCAGTGATAAGCCGGTTTTAAACAATAATATTATTTTGACAGATTTCTCTCATTCTAATTCTTGTACGCTTTTTTATTGAATACAACTGTAAGATTAAAATAAGAAAAATTTGGAAAATCACCTAAATATAAAAATTTTCAAGTCAGCATATTCAAATTGTGACTAAAAAATCAAATAAGAAAAAAAACGAATTTTCCATTTATTGTTTGAAATTACTATAGAATAGTATATTAAAGTACAAGTTGCAGAAGGCCACATATTCTGGCACGAATTCGAAATTTGGCCTCGAGCGACGAAGGAGCGAGTGGACGAACGAATGAGTGCGAGAATAGCCTTCTGCAGCGTGTGATTTATACTATTTTCTCGATTTTAACTTTTATTTAGGTTTTTTTAATTGTTTTGTGGTCGTTGTTAGTTGGGGGATTTTTCTCGCAAAATGTCAGTTGGCAACACAAAATGACAGTTGCATGGACAGGTAGATTTATTTTTATTTATTATTTATTAATAATCTGTCTGTATTTGTCAACTGAATAATAATGTTTTGTGTAAGTATTGTATTATTTTTTAATGTTTTCTGATATTTTTTAACAATTGTGTTTACTTTTAGCAGTGAAAAATGTCACAGGAGGTTTTACAAGCAACACCGAACATTACAATAAAAGTTTATAACAATTGTGCTAGTGATTAATTTATAGTAGTTTTGTGCTTTGTGTACTGTGGGTATATAATATTTCCAATAAAAATATAGTTTAATTGACCTGTTTGGCTCATTTATTTGTCAATATTTGTTATTCTGCACAAGTACCTACAACCTGAACTGCACTTTTTCACATTAAACTTAAAATTTTGCATTAAAATGCATTGTTGGAGCAAACTTAATATAACAAAACAATAATAAAGGCTTCATTTTCAATAAAAGTGTGGTTCAGGTTGCCCTAGTGCAGGATAACAAACAAAGCTATTATAAATAATCCTAAAAGTAATGAATTTGAGGTTATTAAACAGTTTGACATTTTGGGGGTACCAATACTTAAAAACTAAATGTTACCAAAAATCGTTTAAGAATGAGCTTCATTCTTCAACGATTTTGCGTGCGAGAATATGACATTCTTACATAAAAATCGAGAAAGATATTTCGATCATTCCTAATTTTCTATCAAAAAGACCGCGAATTTGTCAAATAATCCTTAGAGAGATTCGGTATTATTAAATTCATAGAAACATGAGCATCCAAATCTCTGACAAATTTACCCCAAAAAATTTTGAAAAATCACAAAAATTTCGTTCACAATCATTAGAAATATTGGAAATAATATATATTATCAAAACCTTGGGGATAGTTTTGGGGTGTGAAACCACCCCCGCTTGCGACGCATATGTATGCATAATATTAGTTTTTTCTTACCTGCGGCGGGGGGGGGGGTCTAAACGAAATCCTGGCCCATAAAGGTATTTTTCATTAATTTAAAACAATGATGTGAATGTGTAAAGCATGTTGAATTTATGATTGTTTTTGCGATTTATTATTCGTGAGAAGGCTAAGTCTATAAAAAATTGTACAATTAAATATTAAAAGTAAATAATTATTGAAACGATTTTCTTTTTTGTCAAAAAACAAAATGGTATTCAATATTTGATCACTCTCTTATAAGGGGGCATCCATTAATTACGTAAGATGTTTGGGGGGGAGGGGGTAGAGCCAAACCTAGGTTTTTCCGATCACATGGGTCAACTAGTAGCTTTTGATTATAATAACAAAGATAATAGTAACAATTGTGAGGATAAGATAAAAAAATTTAGCTATAGAAATTTTTCCGCTGAATCGGTTCAATTATTTTGTAACCTATTCAATGATTTAGATTTTTTAAATTCATTTCTTATTAATGATGATATAAATAATATGTTTAGTATTTTTTATAATCACTTAACTTATTGTGAAGGAGTGGCTTTACCAAAAATAAATAATAAAATCAAACAAAACGGTACAAAAATTAAATTAAGTAACTCTTTAATTGAAAAAACTGAAAAGCTTAAAGACCTTAATTATCTTAGAAAACAGTTTCCGCAACTAAATAAAAAATACAAAACGGAAAAGCGCATTTTGGATAAAGAGATAAAACTGTTTAAAATGAACCATACAAGGAATAAGATTCAATACTCAAAAAATCCCTCCAAAACAATCATAATTTTACATCTGATGTAAAATTATGATTAAAAAAACCTATTAATTCTACTTAATTAAATGGCAAAAAAACGATAAAAAACGCGGTATACAATAATGATCATTATTGAATAATCTCAATAAAACTAAAATATTTTGCTTCATAACAATTATCCAATCTACATGATTATTTGGGAATGTTTCCTAAATGATTTTTCTTTCCTTTGCAGGGTTCTCCTTTAAGCAGGGCCGATCTCCGAGCTGTGAACGTAAATTTATGTGATATGTGCTGCATATTGTCGGCCAAAGTACCAAGCAATGATGATCCTACTTTGGCTGACAAAGAAGCAATTCTGGCTTCACTCAATATCAAAGCTATGACGTTTGACGACACGATAGGTATGTAGTAATAATTGTAATTATACCAACATTTTTGCTATCAACCTACCTACCTACCAGCTTTAATAATTTTCAGAATAAAATGAAAAACAAAAATTAAAAGTCTTTTATCTTCAAGCGTTTTATAATTTAAACTGTATTATTGTCAACACTTACTACTAAAGTGATTATCGCCTAGGCTGTAAATAGTTATTTTTAATGCTAGATTACAAAATGTTACTTTCGCATTCGAGAATAAGAGTTTTTTGTAACAAAAGCGAGCAAAAAAACTAATCAAGAATGCTACTTTTGCATTCGAGAATGAAAGTTTTTTTTGTGAGCGACAGCTAGTAACAAACAACATTTGTTTAACTGTATCCCACAGTTTAAAAATTACTAAAAATATGCTGGAAAAATGGGAAAGGGGGGCGAACAATTGTCTCACCAGTAAAATTAAATACTGGATTCCACGTATATGTTTTACCCCCTGGATTACTTTCTGCCGGCGCACAGTGTTTCAATTCTCGAAATTTTCGGCAAAATATCAAGGAGTAGTCGGATTCTCCTAAAAACCCGTATATAGAGGTTTTTAGGGTCGCTGATAACGAATCTAGAATTCAAAAATTTAAAATGGTAGATCCAAAATGGCGGACATATTTGTCAAAAAATTGACGGAATAAATTAAAAATCACCATACAGGGTTTTTGGGATCGCTGATAACGAATCTGGAATCATAATTCCAAAATTCAAAATGATAGATCCAAAATGGCGGACATATTTGTAAAAAAATTGACGGAATGAATTGAAAATCACCATACAGGGGTTTTTGTGGTCGCTGATAATGAATCTGAAATCAGAATTCCAAAATGGACCTCAAATGGCGGACATTTTTATCAAATATTGTCGAAACTAATTAAAAACCCTATTGAAAATGCCATATAGAACCATATAAAAAACACGTATCTGGATTCTATATGGTTTCTATCTGGTTCAATATAGGTATTTGAAACAGGCATTTCACTATAGAACCAGATAGAAGATTACATTATAGAACCAGATAAAAACACTCTAAAACACTATAGAACCAGATAGCAAGTTTTCTGAAGCTAGAAATATACGGATCGGAAGATGCCATAAGCCAATGGAAAACATCTTCCATCGTTTTCTCCCGAGAAACTTTCAAAATATATTTATAAATTTAAATATAACAGATTTTATACTAAGTATTTTAAATTTGTATTATTTCTTTTACTTAATATTTTAGCAACGATTTCTTAATTTGCTAAAAAAATTGTCAACACAAATAACCACAATTTAAATTTGACATTAACACACTACACGGAGTTGTTTTAACGCACCTACAAGAGGTGGGTTAAATATGTAAAATCGGTGTAAAATATCTTAGTAGTCACGAACGATTTACGCAAGTGAAAGTTTAGACACCGCTGTTGTAATAAACGTTTTGAGTTAAATTCGAGTGAATAGAGTAAACGTCATGAACGCATCCCAGAAATAAAAAAAAATCTTATATTTTGTAAAGCAAAAATACAGATACGCGCTCGACATAGGCTTAAAATCGAGAGGTTTTTTAACACAACCGTGTCTGAGCGCCTAAGAACATGTAGTTTTAAAGAGCCGGGGGCAAGTTGGGGCAGCTAATTTATTGATGGCTTGATAGACAAAACTCTAAGCTAGTCAACGGATCTTAAACTAATGCCTTACAATTCATTACAATTTTTGTAGCTCCATTGTTCTAAAAGCTCGATTCAAAGTTTGCGATTTTAACAGACCGATCTTGTCGGTTACAATAACCCGTTGTACAAGCAAAATCTACGAAAACCAAATACATATATGAATTTTAGATCACCCTTCATCAAACCGCATAACAATCGGACACATCAAACACAATTTATTCACTTTTAAACAATAAACAATTTTTCGCAGCGATCGCGTGTAAAGTACCTTCAACTAAAAGCGTCAAGTTTAAACTGATGTACAAGACAAAATATACGTATATTATATAACTACCCATCTAACTCAAAATTTACCTGAAAAAAAAATGTAAATTTTTTAGGTTTTGACGATATTTTCCAGAATTGAAACACTGTGCGGCGCCCATGATGTTATCTACAACTTTATGCACTTATTTTAATATTTAGCGAACAATTGTAAAAGTATTTTACGCCCATAGCAATGACAAAAAACTGGTGTTTTGACCATTCATAAATATTATGTTGAAGTCAACTTTTAACGACAATTTTTGAAAATAGCTATTTTTAATGCTAGATTGCGAAATTCCACTTTGTATTCGAGAATGAAAGTTTTTTTGTGCGCGATACTCGAAATCGAGTAACATTTTTTTTCGAAAACTGTGTTCCACAGTTTATGAATTACTAAAAATGTCTGGAGAAAATTTTGGATTTAAAAGTATTTTGCGTACATAACAAAGGATGTAAAAATATTTTATCTGCTATGGTTACTATTGTTACATTGTTTTATAGCAGCTAAGTTGAATTTACCGTAAAGGCTGGTTGCTATTGATGACGGGGGGTAAGTGAGCTACTTACCTTCAATGGGTAAACAACGTCTTAATCACGAAAATCATATCAGACTACGTGAGATCCTTTAATGTCAAAAAAGTATTTTTATTACATAAAACCTAACTGTGGGAGCAGAAAAAACGTTATACCCCATGCAAGAGGTAGGTTTTGACCAGTTTAGGACTCTTTTGCCAGCCCTCGCACGCTTGGGCGCAAACTCGTTCTCGACTGCTAAAATCTACTACCTTCTTTGTAATAGCTTTATTGACAGATATACCATTTACATTGAGTATGAGTATGAATATGGGAACGTATGGCAGGCCCCAAATATATTATCCTCCACTAATCTCCCGGGATATTTTACCCCCTTTCCGTTCTCCTGCGTATCCCGCCAAATCACAGCATTACCTGTGTTTGTTGGATGCGAAGTTTTTACGCCGGCTGGTAGATCCACCCTAGGAGGTCGTGGATGACAGTGTCAATGGTTAAGGCCGCTCCCGGATTTTTGTCAGCCGGGTCGGGCCATAGGTCCAGTTTAGGAAGGGTTTTTGGAGGACATTGAACTGACCCAAAACTACACACTGACTAACAATCCGGAATCCTCCTCAACCAGGGCTTTAGTAATAACCCCATTCATTTGGTATTCCTGAATGGGGGTAGGTGGATTAGTATGCTGCTAGCGCCTTTCCTTGATGGTGTACTTCCTGTTCGTCGCCGTCCGAGTCGGATTTTGGTTCCTGATAACCGCTTTAGAATTGTTTGCCCCCCTGTGCGATTAAGTCTTATCTTCAGAACCGAAGTGTTGATGGCCGCACCCCGCCGTAATTAGTGCCCTCAGATTATGTGGAACTACTGGAATTGTCGACCCTCGAATTATTTTTTTCCTAACTGTGCGTGATCCCCATTCACTTGGGGTTGGGTCCATCTTTGCTTCTCACTGTGCATTGCGGCTATTTTACGCTTAGAATGGATTTTACCTAATTTATGACCCTTAACGTCTTAGTAATCTATAGATATAAACATAAATAAATAAATTTCTTTAGGATGGTTTCTTTTGCCTAATGTTTATCGTAACTTAAGTGATTAATGGCTTCTTATGTGCCCTTGTGTTTATAGTTTTTTTTTACTGTTTCATTTGCATGAGAATCTTAAAATTGTTTGCGACTAATTAATTTTACCTGAAGAATTATTGTTAGTTAAATGTTGCGTATTTCGTATTAACTAGTATTAATATTATTGGGTGGTCATGGCCATGCAATTTTGGTAGCTACTTATCTAGTTTATGCAGACTTGGACTTCGGGATATTTGCCAGGCAGGTGTGCTGAAATTGATCCATATCGCATGGTGGTAGCCCAGGAAATTTTCATTGGAACTGATCGGATCACCTTTTAACCAGGTCAAACACTTGAGGACTTAATCCCGGGGGAGGTACCACGCACATTTTGCACTCTTTTGCACTTGGGACAGTTATCACGTGTAGAATCGATTGATTTTTTATTATTTTACGGCGTTAACCAGTTATCACGTGTAGAATCGATATTGATTTTTTGTTATTTTACGGCGTTAACCAGTTATCACGTGTAGAATCGATATTGATTTTTTATTATTTTACGGCGCACTTTTCGCACTTGTTGCACTTTTCGCACTTGTTTATTTATTTCTTTATTTATTTGTTACCGATTACCGATATTTCCGCATACTTAGCTTCGCTTTTGGTTCTTTACTACGTTTGTATCGTATACGCTGCTTAGGAGAGGTCTCGTTAACTATCTTTGAGCGTCCTTACACTTCAAGAGTCAAGACCCAACTGACAGATATACCATTTACATTTAGTGTAATAATAAATAAATATCCTAATAATATTAATACTCTTTTCAAAAAATTTTAAAAAAATACCCACAATGTAGGTTTTACATTCCTGTCATGTATTTTATTAAGAATAATACCGAAACTGGCAACTCCACGACTGGGATTGCCGAGAAGCGATACATAATATGTAATCTACCTCATCTTTTAAATAAATGTTTTACCACAACACAAGCGAGATATATCTAAAATGTGCTTAAACAGTTGAGTGATCGCTAAAACTGTACAAAAAATGTGCTATAAAAAGGTGTATTATAAGCGTGATAAATGAGAAATAATAAAGCGTCCTAACAGTGTGTATAAAATGTGACATGCGTAAGATAGACTAAACAATGTACTAAAACTGTGCAAAAAATAATTTAATATAAGCGTGACAAGTGACAAATAAAAAGCGTGATGTCAATGTGCATAAAGAGTGAAAAAACTAAATTATTTCAAAAAAAAAAAGAGAGACAGAGGGGAAGGCCCCAGGTGTTGCGGACATCGCCGCTGGAGAGGCACAATGTCCCCGTCCAGCTGCGATACCCCTAACACAACCCACAAGCCCCTGCCTACCACTCTGTCTCCCCAGTTCCCTTCCTTGCCTCATGGCTGTTTTATTCTTTATTTGTTTTACATGAAATGTTAGTATTTACACTGGTTCACGCCTCGAGGGCGGTTATTAATACATTTTTGCTTATAATTAGGGTTAGTATACCTATCTGAATAATATTATCTGTGTTGTATGGTACGTAAAAGTATGGGATGCCGGCCTGTTAAAGCCTTATAGGTACTATACAATATTTTGTGTCATGTGACGTTAATTTGGGATGCAGGCCAAGGACCTTAGGAGTAGCAGAAAAAGGTGGGACTGGGGAAACATAAGCGGGAAAACATGGGCATTTGGAAGCAATAGCACCGGGCACAGCCCGATGTCATTGCCTGGGCCCCTCTTCAACGATGCCCTAAACGGGCTACAGAGTACCTAATACCTCTGTGATATGACCAGCAATTTTTAAAAAATTTTGTCTCGTAGGACATACAAAAATGCGGTACGACCGAAGTCTATGATGTTGGGCAGTTTGACCTCGTACCCAGGAGGATGATAGTGTTCAGAAATACATACGGGAGTACCATATCAGGAGCAACGTCGAATAGAGCCAGAAAATAAAGGGCAGTTTAACCTCATGCCAAGGAGGGCGGTAGTGCTATGCAAAGATAAATTAGGGAGTACCATATCCAGAGCAGAGTCGTTATAGAGCCATAAAACATAAAGGGCAGTTTAACCTCATGCCAAGGAGAAGTTTATTTCAAAAAGTGTGACATTACCACAAAATAGCGTCTATGCGCATTGTTATAAAGACTTGCACTCTAAATACACACTTATTGCACACTTTTCGTGCACGCTTTATTTTCTCCAGGGTGTCCCCGTTCATTAACCCCAAATAAATTAGGTTATTACTAAAACCCTGGTTAAGGGAGAGTCCGAATTGTACTTAGTTTTGGGTCAGTTTAAGTTCTCTAAAAAATATTGCCCCTCCTTGTCCTACACTTCACTAGCCTAAATCAAGCTTATGGTCCGACCTGGCGACAAAATTCCGGGAGTGGCCTTAACCATCGACACTGTCATCCACGATCTCCCAGGGAAGATTTACCTGCCGAGGTGATAATCCGGATCCACCAAACACAGGTAACGCTGTGCAGTGGCGGGATACGTAGGAGAACCAAAAGGGGGTAAAATAATCCTGGAAGATCAGGCGTTGCTGATGGGGCCTGCCATACGTTCTTATACTCATACTTATACCTATTCAGAACTTAAAAGTCTTTTTCATTCGTTGCTATGTACGCAAAATACTTTTACATCCGTTACAAAATTTTCTCTCCACATTTTTAGATATTTTTAAACTTTGGGATACAGTTTTCGAAAAATTTTGTTTGGTTCTCAATTGCAAAATTATTTTTTCTACGACAACTCTGTAAAAGTCACATTTCGTAATGGCATCGTTGCTTAGAAAATGAATCTTTTCATTGGCAAGGCAAAACTCAAATGTAAAGTGACATTTATGTGTGAAAAGTCACACGTCTGTGTATTTATTTTGTTTTGTATTTGAAAATAATACAAAAAAGGGCCGCTACAATCAATTGTAGGCCTCCGCTACGCGTCCGCCTTCAAACTTTGAGCTCAGTGGTTGGTCGCTAAATCGACCAGTTTAAAAATAATGCTTATTTCTATTTCTTATTCATTTATTCAAAATTCTAAGTAATAAAATATTGTATATTTATGATACATTTCTAAAATTAGTGTAATTAATTTCATGTTATAAATTTTATTAATTTAACATTTTTAATAAACTCCTGGACAAAATTAACGCAACATCAAAAAACTGACACATTTTTTATGCTATTTTTTTGTTGAATTTATGATCCGATTTGAATGATTTTTTTTGCATTGTAGGTTGGTTCCTTGACAATGTCATAATTTTCGCTGTTTATGATAAAAAGTTCATTTTCGATTTATACCGGGTGTAATAAAAATGAAATATTTTTTTCCGAAAATTCGTATCACCCTGTGGAGTATACTAGCATCCGAAACATATAGTAGTTGACATTAGACGGTAGGTTCATCTTTCGCCAACATTTTCTTTTTTGGTTTACTTCATTATCTCTGTTATTAAAGGAGATACGCCGTTTTATACCGTAAAATGTTTTTATAGACTTTATTATTCAAAACAATCATTGTTAAATGTTTTCAAGTAGGCTATGGACCTTTTCTGACATTTCAAGAGATATTTTGATTATTTGTTGTCTGTATAATTGTATAATTTCTGCTCGCTTTGATAAATGCATAATCCTGCATAAATAAACTATTCGGTCCCAAAAAAGAAACAAATGGCATTACATGTTCAATTACAATGTTTTCTAGATAATAATCGGCGTTCATTGATCATACACGTATAGGGAGTAACTCTGTGCGTCCGTTGAAGCATATTCCTCCCCAAAACATTACAGAGCCTTCACCAAACGGTATTTTAGGAGAGATATTGCCACATGCAAATCTCTCTCCTGACCTTTGCCAAACACGTTCACACCATCAGGAGAATTGAGACTAACTCTCGTTTCATCAGAAAATAAAACCTTCTTCCAATCATTAACAGTCCAATGTTGATAATTTCTGGCAAAACGCAATCTTGAAACTTTGTGCTCTCTGGTAAGTAATTGTTTCTTTGCCGGTCTTCTCTTGCTTAAACCTGCCTCATTCAAACGTCTCCTGCAGGATCACAATCATGATTGTTCGAGACGATATTGTATTATGGCGAGCAGTTCTAAGCTCACTTTTTAGCCTAGTACTAGTAATCTTCCTGTTTCTAGAGCAGTATGCCTAATAAAACGCTCATCCCTTGGACCGGTACATAGTTTTCGCCCTTGTACTGACCTTGAAAAGTAAGATCCTGTCTCGTTAAATCGTTTAACCATACGACTTATAGTCGAACGATGTCTTCCTATCACATTAGCAACATGACATTGAATAGCTCTCATCCACCAAAGTTAAGTCTCTTACTGCTTCTTCTGTCGAAAATTTTTTTAGGCGATTCATTTTTAAAGATTTAAATAAGAAACGAACGTTTAATAAGCAGTTTTCGAACAGTTGTTATAAGTATGGCGAATTTTCCATAGCCTACTTGAAAACATTTAACAATTAATGTTTTGAATAATAAAGTCTATAAAAACATGTTACGCTATAAAACAGCGTATCTCCTTTAATAACAGAGATAATGAAGTAAACCAAAAAAGAATATGTTGGCGAAATATGGACCTACCGTCTTATGTTAACTGCTATAGGTTTCGGTTGCTAGTATACTTCACAGGGTGATACGAATTTTCGGAAAAAAACATTACATTTTTATTACACCCGGTATGAATCGAAAATGAACTTTTTATCATAAACAGCGAAAATTATAACATTGTCAAGGCACCAACCTACAATGCAAAAAAAAATTCATTCAAATCGGATCCTAAATTAAAAAAATAAATAGCATAAAAAATGTGACAAATTTATGATGTTGCGTTAATTTTGTCCAGGAGTTTATAAAAATAAACATTTTTTGATTTGCAGGTGTTTTAAGTCAATCGAACGGCGAGCATGTAGCGGGAACACCTGTCGGAAGCCCAATTATACTTCAAAGGAGAGGTTCTGTGTATGGCGCTAATGTGCCCATGATAACAGGTGAGTAATTTCTGCTGAATCTAAAAACACCTTGTTAGTGCATATAAATTGAAAATAAGGAAATTATACATGTATTTATTAATTCTTAATTAATAATATATAACTATTAATTCATTATTTTTTAAAGGTAATTATTATACAAGACGATAACATGTTATATTTTCAACCGAAAAATACTGATTCGAGCGATGAAATCACGACTTAATTAATTTCAAGCAACGATAATGGAATATCGTCTTGTGTAATACAATATTGTTTATGTTTTATTCTATAGTCTAAATATGAACGCTTTTAATAAGAAAAATAAAAACTACAACTGTATCACATACATCTTCACATTTCCTTTTCGTGGGGTTAAAGCCTTTAACTTAAAGGAGGAGAAGTAAGAATCACACGGGTGCTTGCATTCAGGCGCATGCAATTATTTGGGAAATATAATAAATACTTTTTAATAAATTTAATATAAATTGTATAAAAAAGCATTTAACAATAATAAACAAACAAAATGATGATATTTTCGATTTTATAATGGCATGTTTATAACAGCAATAATTTGGAAACGTCGTATTCGACCACGATAGCCAAAAGGTTTTTATCATAGACATATTAATACGTAGATGGTTTTTATAACAAACCATTGTGTTTGTTTTCTGTTGTATATACAGCAAACAGAGCTGTAACCAACTCGTGTTATTCACGTCGCATTTTGGTTGTTAAATTTTAACGAGTTTTAAAGTAACGGAATATTGACGTGAAATAAACGTTTTGAAAAAACAATTTTTTAACAAAAATGAAATTTCTATATTTGTTAAAAATATTACATAAACATAAAAAAAACTTCCTATACAGTTTTTTCAGTCGAAAAAAAGAAAGTACTTCCCACAGGAATTCTGAGAAGTTTTAAAAATACGTTTGATACACGTAAAATTTTGACGAAATATGTACCTAAGTACCCAGCAAAAAAAAATGACGAACGACGTTTAAGACGTCAAAATAAAACGTAAAAATTACGTATATTTCTTGCCATTACCTGACCACCTATTTTATACCAGAATCAGACGAATATGCAACGCCATCAAAATGTTTCAAAATTCGCCAATATGTAGGCAACCCATGCATACCTCTCGCCTCTGTAGCACAATAGATAGTCCTATAAAGGTGGAAGGCCTTAAGCTTCTAAGTAAGAATTTCTTACCAAGGCAAAATTACTAACCATACCGCTTCTGCTTGTAAGTTTTGAAGAGACACAGCTGGTCCACTCTGCGAAAAGTAAGCAGTGGGCCTAACTACTTACTTTTAGCAAAAGCTTTTTATAAAATTTAACATTTAATGTTAAACAGCACTATTTTTGAGAAATTATTCAACAACCAAAATACGTCAATTTTGTACTTTAAAGACGTCTAAAATGGACGTAAACGTCTTTAAAGATGTCTTTAAGAATCGTCTTAACCACGTTAAGGGGGACGTTTTTTTTTACGTCTAACTAACACGTTTTAATTACCTCCACAAAATACGTCATAAAAATGTGACATTCCAACGTTGATAACTTCTATTATATACGTAAAAAAAACGTCTTTTGGTTGAAATATTACCAAAATATTACGTGTTTTTCACGGTTTTCTCTTTGCAATATACCTATTGTTTTGGCATTGTTTTTTTCATTGTGTTTACGAGATTTTTAGTGGATTTTACAAAATATGCATATTATGTGACTTTTTGCTTTTTATAAAGTTAATTAAGCATGTAAGCAAATGATTTAGAAACATTTGATATAACCTAAATTATTTATTTGGTTGACAATTCTTATCATACGTGGACGTATTAATATGTCTATGGTATCATATAATTTAAAACTCCCACTTATGAAGTAAGGTAAAATGAAATCGCAGGAGGTAAGTTTTGACCAGTTTACCCCTTGGTACCTATTAAAATGAGAAGATTAATTCGCAATTTTCTCTAAAATATTTATGCGATAATTAATAGGGAGCTGTTTTGTAGACAATTAAGTTTACTAACAAATTTTATAAAAAATTAACCTACCTTAAATTAGTTGTTATAATATTTATAATTATACTACTTAACAAATACAGTTGTTTATCTATCCTTGCTGTAAATGGATCATTTTATCTACCCTTGTGGTTATCAATCAATTTCTGCCCAAAATCGTACAGTTTTAAAGATAATTATAATTGTCTGCAAATTACGATCTTTGCAAATTTATTATTGTTATTACTTACTAATAGGCCAGATTTATCGAATCAATCCAATAATCATATCATGTAATATTAAATTTATGCTCTTTCGATCTAGATTTGGATTAGATTGACTATCGGGAGGCTATAAGGCCTGCTCCATTGCGGCCTAAAGGGCTATTGTATCTCCCGTAACTCTTATACCACTGTATCCAGATTGCTTGTAGCCAAAAGCTTCCAAAGCTTGGAGAGTGGTTCCCTGATATAGTCACCTGGTGTTGGCTTTTGACTTCCCACTTGGCCGAAACGCATCCTACACAGTGCCTCGCAGTGACATAGTATGTGCGGTGGTGTTTCGTCCTCATCTAAGACCTCGTTAGACATTTTGTTTGTTCATTCCTTAACATAGATCTGGGCTGTTGATACAGCGACTTCACATAACGATTCTATTCCAATGATCCTTATCGGGCTAGTTTATCTGCTCCCTCGTTGCATTCAATACCTATGTACTAAAAACAACATACAGTAATAATTAATTTTGTCAAACGCAATAAAACAAATTATTTCCTGTTCCATGGTTGCGAAAAATGTATCTTTGTCAAAAACTTAACAAAGTTATCCCGATGTACCTACGGCAATACTTTAATGCAATACCTTTCGACATTGATAACATTGGGTTTATTTTCAGAACTGGTAAACGATAGTAATGTTCAATTTTTGGATCAGGACGATGACGATGATCCTGACACGGAATTGTATCTTACGCAACCGTTTGCCTGCGGAACTGCTTTTGCTGTTAGTGTTTTAGATTCCTTAATGTCAACTGTAAGTTTCTCTTAAATTATATTTCTTTAATAGGGTTACCCAATATGTTTTTGTTTTAGACATATTTTAATCAAAATGCCTTAACACTTATTCGTTCGCTAATTACTGGTGGAGCCACGCCAGAACTAGAGTTAATACTTGCCGAAGGTGCCGGCCTCAGGGGAGGATACAGGTAATTTTAATGAATATGAATTAACATGTAACTTCTCCTAATATTTTGTTGTAGTACCCCAGACAGTTTATCGAATCGGGACCGATGCCGGGTGGGTCAGATATCGCTGTACGACGGTCCTCTAGCGCAGTTTGGCGAAACCGGCAAATACGGCGACTTGTTTGTCGCCGCGCTTAAGCAGTTCGGCATGCTGTGCATCGGTCTCTACCGGTTTCGGGACACCAGCTCGTCCTGCGATGCCAGCAGCAAGCGCTACGTTATCACGAACCCGCCAGACGACTTTCAGCTGCTTCCCACCGATCAGGTACCTAGTGTTTTCAGTTTTGAAAACGATAGAAAAATTTGACACCAGTAACTTTATTAATGGTTTTCTAAAATTATGATTATGATTAGGATTATAAACATAAAATTATAATGCAATTCTCACAAGTTTTTATATTTCTCTCATAAATTAATGAACACTTAAAAATTTTATACAAAATTTGTACAAAATTGGTTTATTTTATCTTACTGCCTTATTGCCCTTTTATGTTTAACATGCAAATCGAACTATTTTCGGAAAAGCTGTTTTGTTAATTCTTCAACTAAAAAATAATATTTGACTCTGTATTGCCTTTTTGTAATTCGTCAAAATAAACTGCCGGTAAAAAAATTGAAAATGAAAGAGAATAAATAACATTTTACAAAATAATTTATAAATACATATAAAACCTACTAAAAAAGAACAATTTTCAAAAATGTTTGATTATGGTCTTAAAAATCCAATAACCCCTATTTTTACCGGCACTATAAAAAGAGAAATAATTAAAAAAACCTTTTTAAATTTTGAACACATAAAAAAATGACCTTTTATTTATATTTGTGAATTTGAACATAAAAGTGGAACATCATTAAAAATTAAAAAATCAAGTCTTTTGTGAAAATATAATCATACTTTATATTGGATGCAATGGAATTTGAATCAGAAAAACAAGAAATTTTTGTATATGACCAGCTAGATGGTTTTTTATAAGTAATGCTATACAGGGCTTTTGAGTTATAGTAAATATGATCTTTAGATATCAAGAGGGAAGTAAAAATCCAGTGTTAAACAATTTTTGTGTTGCACCTTCTCATGTCCAGCGACCCTCACTAAAAATTTTTAAACATTTATCATTATAAAATTTCGTGGACCGAATAATTTGACTTGTCAGATGCTGACAACCTGGTCCCAATGCCATAACATTATTTAACAGAATTCTAACTAAATTCACATCTAAAACTTTTTGTAACAATTTTAAGAAATTTTACGGCGTAGGCGTGTTAAGAGGATACAATTAATAACAACTCTTGCATTTTCAAATTTAAATGTCTTTTATCATTTAGTTATTTCTTAAAATGGAAAATATTTGGTTCTAATTTCGAGCGGTTTTGAACAAATTATAAATTTTACCGTTTTTATAATTACATATATTTAAGATAACAGTTAAGAAAATAACATTTTCCAGATGTAAACCATCACGTTACAAAAACTTAAACTAGACTAACAATTTATTAAAACAGGCAAATTTTGCGTGGTACTAACACTAACTCGGAGTTAGTAACTCCTAAATAGTTCTTTTTTAAATAAATGGTCTAAGTGCAGAATATCACACCTAAAGAATATTCTAACTTAGTGGTAAAATTATATAGGTACATTTTACATTCCCTGGCGCCATTTCTTATCGTCTTTAAAAACCTGTCAAAATATTTTAAAATATATCTTTGGTAAAACGATTTAAGTGCACCTTTTACTGCTAAACAATGGCTATTATCTATGCTGCTAAAGCCTTGACAAGTATTTTAAAACAGACCATAGCATTGAGCCAAAAAAATCCAATTTAGATCAACCCCAACCAAGACCAGCTAATTCAGATGAAGAAAACGTTGTATTAGATTCTGATTATGAATAATACTTTTTGTTATAAAACTTACCCAAATTTTAAAAAATAAAGTTTTGTTCTAGTACAGTAATTGCATTTGAATCATTTTACCACTAAATTTTGTATTACATGCATGGCGATTCAAGTACATTTTTGTAAAAAAAATTAACAAAAAAGCGAAATTGTAGATTCCTTTTTCTTTATAATCCTTTTTTGTCTTTAAACAAAACTAAAATATTCACACAATTTTTTAAACTCTTTTCTAGAATTTTAAAATTCAAGTTAACTTTAAAGCCATTTATCTCAGAACTAACAAAAATGCACTTAAACCCTTTTACTTCTAGGCCCCTCAATTATTATTTTAATTGCAATTATTGTATGTTTATTGTAAACCTGATTTTGAGTATCTCCAAAGAAAAATGTTAAAAGGAGTTTAGTTAGGACTCCTTGAACGCGAAATGTACGAGTTTTAACAAATTTGAGGTTTAGTTTTAAAGAGTGTTTACATTCGAGTCAATTCAAATGAAAACACCAAAAATGAATTTAAAAGTGCGCTGCATGATTTTTTATTGTAATGAAAAAATTTGAGGATGATCTTTTAGGTGTCAAATATGAAAATCCGTTGCCGTTTTAATTTTTTGTTGCTTTACTTTTATTTGGCACCCCTTAGAAGTCTGAAATAGTGTCAATTTCTTACTCCCTTATAGTGGGTCAGAACTTTTTTTCTGTGACAAATATTGAAATAATTTTAATTTTGTTTTACTGTTCAGTAAGTGTGTTTTCGATATAAATTATTATTATCCAATTAGTTAATCTCATAAAAGAATGGTAAACCACTAAAGATTCATGATAATTTGCCAATTTTTGTGATTTTTGTCTGGCTCCTGTGCCTATTCTACTGAATTTAGAAGGTTTATTTTTTTCAGGTATAAAGTACTTATACAATAGAAAACGTAACTATTATTTTAAGTTTCTAGACTATCAATTTCTTTATTAAAAAAATTATTGAAAATTGATAATTCTCAAAATTAGCCAATTTTGCCCTCAGAAATCATTATGTTGAGGAAAAAATAAAAATCTGAAACTTTCAGGAAATTTAGTCCCCACCTTCATCTTTTCAGTCCAGTTAGTCTTGTTTTGTTATTTTATTCCTTTAAAAGATATATTAATTTTTTTAATGCCCGTTTAGTAGCGATATTGTTAGTTTTATTTATAATTTAAAACTTAGATGGCTTTGACTTTGTCAATTCATGTTTGGTAGAGAAATGTCAGATCTGTCAAAAATATTTCATAAATTTTATTTGTGTGTATTTAAATTTTGATTTCAAAAAGTTTGCAAGTTTGCAAGTGTAATAAATGACGGAGTGTTCGAGATTCATGAATTTAATCGCAATTAAAAATGCAAGAACATATCATAATTTTGTACCTCTTTCTTATAGAAAATATTTAAGTTCTGAGAAGTTTTAAATTGCTAAAAATAAGCAAAAACCAAAAAATATTCTAAATAAACCCCTTTATTATAACATGTTTTATTTTAACCAGTTACCTACCTAAAAACTAAAATTTAAAGAAGTATTTACAGATTGTGTAAATTTTTTCCAACAACAACATTTAAAATACATACATTTAACTTTTAACTATTTAGTGCCTTACTAAAGGGATCAAAATAATAGAACAAGACTAACTTGGTTTAAATTGTGAAAGAAACCGACAAAAAACGCATTTTTTATACGTTTAAATTAACTCTTTATTAATTTCACTTATTATACTTAACGATATAAACCATAAGGATCTTAAATATATTTTTTACATTCCTCTTCTTTAAACACCAATTACCCAATTAAATACTTCATTATAATGTATATAATATATAATCATATACATATATATATATATATATATATATGATTTTTCAATACATAAAATATAACATAACTACCAAAAATATCAGAACTCTCAAAAATATTTCATAATTATTATTTGTGGTATTCCTTTGGTGATTTTAAAAAGTTTTATATATAACATAATATTACATATTATGTTATATACAAAATTTACCAAAGAAATACGCACAAATAATATTTATGAAATATTTTTAAAAGTTCTGACACTTCTCCACCAAACAGGAAAGCCATCTAAATTTTAAATTATAAATAAAACTAACAATATCGCTACTAAACGGGCATTAAAAAAATTAATATATCTTTTAAAGGAATAAAAATAACAAAACAAGACCAACTGGAATGAAAAGATGAAGGTGGGGACTACATTTCCTGAAAGTTTCAGATTTTTATTTTTTCCTCAACATAATGATTTCTGAGGGCAAAATTGGCTAACTTTGAGAATTATCAATTTTCAATAATTTTTTTAATAAAGAAATTGATAGTCTAGAAACTTAAAATAATAGTTACGTTTTCTATTGTATAAGTACTTTATACCTGAAAAAAATGAAACTTCTAAATTCAGTAGAATAGGCACAGGAGCCATACAAAAATCACAAAAATTGGCAAATTATCATGAATCTTTAGTGGTTTACCATTCTTTTATGAGATTAACTAATTGGATAAAAATAATTTATATCGAAAACACACTTACTGGACAGTAAAACAAAATTAAAATTATTTCAATATTTGTCACAGAAAAAAAGTTCTGGCCCACTATAAGAGAGTAAGAAATTGACACTATTTCAGACTTCTAAGGGGTGCCAAATAAAAGTAAAGCAACAAAAAATTAAAACGGCAACGGATTTTCATATTTGACACCTAAAAGATCATCCTCAAATTTTTTCATCAAAATAAAAAATCACTCAGCGCACCCCATTTGGTGTTTTTATTTGGAATGACTCATTCTTATTAGAGATTTATAGTTTTTTCGTTCAAAACTGCCCGACATTATTATTTATTTACCCTTTAGAAAGCAATACCGTAAAACGGGGTTACTTTGCACTTTGATGGGTAACTTTGCACCACTGCTGTAAAAGTATATATAAATATAATAATATATATAATAATAATTTGTAAATTTTATTCATTTTAAGGTTTTGTTTTTGGAATCTTTTTTTAAAATAAACCCCTTTTAATATTGGTTTTAATTTAATAAAACTGGTGCAAAGTTACCCATCAAAGTGCAAAGTAACCCCGTTTTACGGTAATTGATATTATTGACATATTTTTTTAGGTATTTGTTTTAATGCAATTCGATCCCGGATTGGAGTACAAGCAGTGCAGGGGCGGAGGCAGGACCGGGCAGGGTCAGGGGAGCGGCACCGGTGGCGGCGGCACCAACAAGGATGAGAACTCCTGACTGCTGCTTTGTAGCGCCCTCACGGACGGCCCCTATTCATACATTTGAGTCAAAGGACACCGTCAAAATACCAAATGCCCACCATTCCATTCCACCGACCTTAATTTTTATTATTTATATAATTCGTTCCAGTGTGTCGTTTGTTTGTGTATTTTTTAGTTATACGATTTAAATAAAATGGTTTTCAAGACATTTTTAAAAGAGTTATCGATATTTTTTTTAAGATTTTAATCATTAAAATAATACAAAAAGTATGATTAAACTATATTTTTTTATTTCTTAAATGTAGTTTTTTGAGTCCCACCTTGACATTTGAATACAAATAATGGGGTTGGTACATGATGTCGAAAATCAGTGTGAAACTACTTATATTATAGAGATTAGTCAAAAAAACAACTATACCATGTCAAGTTTTACTTACAAACGTAAAATTTTAAATTTAAAGCTCTGTAAAAAATCAAATAATGAAAATAGAAATTCGGCTTAGTAAGATTTGTTCGTCCAAATTTAATGCTTTGTAAGATTTAGTCATGGATTTTATGAACAAAAAATTTCTTCCTAGGTTGCAAGAATAAATAAGGTAAAAAAGTCAGTTTTCTGTGCTATTTAAGCGGCAAAACTTCAGATTCGATGAAGGACCTCTTAAAATTGAAATTATGAGCTCCGCTTTTAACAGGATATTTGTTCGGACATATTCTACGATATTTTGGGTGGAGAGCAAGAAAAAAAATATCGCGTTTTTTTGGCAATATTGTATAAATAGTACAAAATTAGCGTTCAAATGTCAAGGTGGTTTTTTTTAGTATTCTTAATGAAATAGAGGATACCTACTTTATGGAAGAAAAATCGTAAAGACAAAATTAGTGGTTTTATGGTTAGCAAAACTTTTCTTCTTAGCAACACTTTTATTTAGCAAATCTTAAGAATTAAAAAAGTACTAGTTTTCTGATTTGAACGTCTATCTGACACATGACAGATTTTATGGTGGTATATGAGGAAAAACTATAATGATGATTTTTATTTTATTAATTAATGCTTTTTCATATAGAATACAAAAAGTCAACAAGTTCAATGGGTAAAAAAAGTGAGAAATTTTATGGAAGAAATTTTAGAAAACTATCACTCTTCTTTGCTAATTTTATTTTAAAATCTATGCTGGTACATAGTTTATATTATCCTTACTCTTTGTTACAAATGTGTGCTTTTTAGACGACATTTTTAAAATATACATAATATGTTTTTAAAACCTATAAAATCTATAAAAAAATTATCGATTATTTTTTTTTAATGCTAACCAAAAGTGATTATTGTTGTTGCAGTGTTGCACCAATTCAGCAAAGTGTTGTATTTCCTAAAAAACAATAAATACTTAAACAGTTAAAATATTTTTATAGCAATAAAATTTGGTTTGGAAATACAAATGTTTGCTTAAATATGACAAAGGTTTTCTTTTATTTTTGTGGGATCCATCTAAGCGAAATTGTGAAGGCGCTACTAAACTAAAAAAAACCTACCCAGAACAGTTCTACATATAAAGTAATGTGTATTAGTGCTTTAAATTTAAAATAATATGGACATATTTAATAACATATTGCGAAAAACATCGATAATATTTAATTGATTTTGTACATATTACTACCAATCGCAATTTTTTAACACTATTCATTGTAAATATGACTGAATGAATAAAGGAGCTTTTTTAGAAGTTGTAAATGATGTAGATATATAAATGTTAGAAGTATACACAGAGGTGGGTATTACATTGACTTTATTGTTACATGGATTTTGTTTTTTATATATACCTATATAAAGATATTTCGTAGTTACTCTTTCTGTGGCCATTTTTTTTACTCGAAAATCTTAAGTACAGGATGTTCCAAAATAACTTTATATAAATGATAAGGTACATTCTTGGGGTTGAAACCCTAAATTAAACTTTTTGAAATACAGGGTGTTAAAGTTGTCAAAAATTAAATTATTGGATTGGAAGGGGTTAATAAGCTACAAAACAGTGGCCACCCGTTCCAGGTATGGCTTATTTTTACCAATGTTATGCTTAATAAATTAATAAGAAATATATGATTTTTATCAGACGCTTTTATTCGAAATGTTTTTTCTTATAAATTAAGCATTTTTAAAAGGTTTATTTTTTTTAATTTTTAGAGAACTAAAAACATTTGTCGAATTCTACCCTTTACTCCTTTACCGGTGCCAAGAAAATGAAATAAAGCAGCGTATTAAAAAAAACTCTTTCATTTACGAAAATTGAAAAATTTGACACAATGGATCTTTAAAACGGTGACCCTTCTGAAAATGTTTTATTTGGGTTATTAACTCCAGGAATGGTAGATACCTATCAATTATGTTGTGTAATTTCGGGACACCCTGTATATACATAAGTATATGTAAATTACAACTATTTAAATTGTGATATTGTAAATAAATAGTTTATAGTTGATTTCTACACCATATGTTTGTGTAAAAAAGTTTGTTATAATGGTAAATTTACAGAGCATCTCCTAAGGCATTCGATTAAATTCTAAATAATGTTAGTGTATAGGAAAGCAAAGGCTAATCTTTTATTGTACGTAAAAATAAATGTTTATAAATACTAAAGTGAATATTTGAACATGGGAATAATAAATATAAATCGTTAAATTTTTTTTAGCAACTTATAATGATATTTTAAACCTGGGTTTGATAACGCGTTTCTGTTACGGTATTGTTGCTCGTTTCGAAACAAAAACAAAATTACTGGTACTAAAAATATCAGGAATAGAATGACACGAAAACGTTTGGTATAGAAACAAAACTACCAATCCCCTCCGACGAACAAATTGGAAACAAAGCGGTCAGGTATGGAAACAAAAAGTATCAAAATATAAGTAAACTAAAGTATGGAAACGAAACTAGAAACGAAAGAAGCGTGAATATAGCTATAGCTATAAAAACAAAATTGGATATAAAAGTGAGGTATGGAATTGTAACGAACTAAGAATTCGAACAAATTTTTTTAGAAAAATAAGTTATCATAATTTTGAAAAAATATTTAGACCAGTACAGACCATTTGCAAATCATGTGCTCTTAAATCACATGGCTGAAGTTATGGGCAATGTAAATTAATTCTTGTTAGCTTTTATTTAAGTAATCCATAATCATTATGTTGGCATATTGTTTTAATTTCTAATGTGCAATTTTTAATTACCCAGTTTTAAATAAATTAAATGTTAGGGCAGTTTAATTACCTAATTTTGTTAAAATTTTGTCAGTTTTCAATTACCGTAAACACGGGTGGCTTTAGCTCACTTTCAAACTTAAGCTTAAATTTTTTGTGGTTTTAACAATCATAAACAATAAATTTTGAATACCAAAATTTGAGTCTTGAGTTGCTCTTTCATAATAACTATGTTATATTATAGGTCTGAGCGGGTGACTTTGTCTCACAGTGTATTTTCCGTATAAAATTAACTCAATATTTTATTTAATTTTTATTAGACACATGTTAGCAGCGACATATATCTGTTGCAAGGGATTACCGATAAAAAAAATAAAAAATCGACATGTAGTTAACCAAGGATCATCATTCCAAAGGATTGCGCATAATATAGAAATTGTAACGCGTGTATTTATAAGAGTTTTGCACTGATGCGATATATACAATTTTAAAGTGTAATAAATCCCATTTCTTTCTTTAAAACACTGATTTTTCTGTAATATAAACTCCATAGAATCGCTCAATTGACAGGTTTAAACCAACAAATTATAAATGTTAATTTTATCGAGCTCGAAAAGATTTTTCATAAAAGGGTTAAAGTCACCCGCGGGGTGCAAAGTCACCCGTGTTTACGGTACCCGAAACATCTTGACATATGGGGTATGTCAAAAATGAGTTATGGCGATTTCAATGCATTTCAACTTATGTCTATCACGTACGTTAAGTTAAGTTACGCGTATTAAGTGGATGTGAATGAGCTTTCTCTTACGATTACGATTCCTTCTTGATGCGTCGCCACTCTAACTAATATCGATTTTATCAAGCCCCCCATCACTGACCGTTCGCCCCAGACTCTGGGGCGAACGGTCAATGATGAGTTACTTCATAAAATCGATATTACCAAAACTTGGCGTAACGGAAGTTAAAACCAAAGAATATGAAACATTCTGGGGCACAGGGTGTTTCATATTCTTTGGTTTTAACTTCCGTTGCACCAAGTTTTGGTTTAACCTGTGTGCAAGAAAGTTTTACTTCAAAAATCTGTTTATGATCACCTGGAGTCTGTTCCCAGTTTCGTTCCTATGCCTAACTATATCGTTACTAGGCTCATTTTAATACTTTTGATACTTTTCGTTTCTATTCCTATAGCATTTTGGTATCGTTGTGTTACCCGCAACGGTACTAAATTTCATACCATAAGTTTTTATATTTATTTCTTTACGATTGTTTCTTTATTTTAAATTTTGGTGCTTTTTTTGTACTAGTTAGAAATGCTTCTAAACTTTATGTTACCTCGCGTTTCGTTTTTTTAAGTTAGTAGACTCGATAGGTACCGGAAGAAACGCAGTTTTGTTTCTATGCTTTGTTTAGCAAGGCGGTAGTCAATGGATTTAATCTCCTCCTAAAATTTTAAAATCTTTATTGCGTTGCATCCGTTTTTTTGCATATAAATAAATAAATTTCCAAACGTTGTTAGATCGGTTTATAAGAGAAATAAAAATTTTAAAAAATATATAAAGAATTTTTAATGATAAAGTGGGTAAACTCTTTATTATTAAATAAAAAATAATTATTAACGCATAATAATTATAGCCAATCACTGCCGAGTTTGCCCTTATTTTTAGTGCCTTTTAATGTGCTCTACATTATTTATCATCACGTTATAGGCTAGGTACAATTTTATCTTATTTAGCAATACAATTAAACAGCACCAATACACAGGTTAATAGGAATCCGACATTCATAAAATAAAAACTTTAATTGTACAGTTTAGTCACATTAAGG